TTTTTCCCTGACACAGTTGTTCTCATTCAGGACCCGGGGAGAGGTTTCCCTTACGCAAGGAGGAAACTTTTCATTGGTGGAATGCTGGCCGTTGTTCTAATACTCAGACAATTTAGTCTGGAGCTTTTTGAACACCTGGAAAGCTGCGGAACGAGCACAATGGGACCAGTGTTTCGGGTTTCCAGCTCCAGAATCGGGATGCTCCGACGCGTTCGAGGTCCAAAGTTTCAGCTAAAGAAGGCATGAGTCTGTGGCCGTTGTTCCTCTTTCAGGAAAGGGGTTTTCCCTCTTCTCTGCTTTCAGAGAAAGTTATAAAAAAAACATCAATACTGAAATTATTTCTGTGTCCTCGGGTGGAACTGTTGTGTCAAAAAAGGAAACAAGTCTCTAGACTTTGCAGCTTCTATATTCCCACAAAGAGGGACGTGTTATCAGAGCTGTTGAATACAAAAACATCTTTTTTTTTTTTTTAAAGATGTGTGCTAAAAACCGGGTCATGGGGAGACTGAGTGCGTCTCCAGAGGTCAACAAGGGTTGAAACTGTTTAAATGAAACTGTTCATTTGTTTGTGTTTTGCTTTTGAATCCCTCTCCAGATGTTCATATAGACACAAAACTCATCTTTGTTCCTCAGAATGACGAATCTGGAGCTTCTCGTTCAGGAAAAGCTCCAAAAAAGCTGTAATTCAGCTTTATTTTTCTTTAACCGGATAGAAGGAAGAGCTCCTAAAACCTAAAATCGGGCCTCCAAAGTGGTGAAATAGTAATGTAACCGTGGTGCGTTTGAGGACCTCACGGTTCCAAAACCAAAGTGCCGTTTTTTTTTTTTTCTTCTTCTTTTTTTGTTCTGATGCGGTAATTTCGAGTTTGAATGAGAAGCGCCGAGCAGAGGGGGATTGTGGGTAATGAGCGGTGCAGCTGCGAGGGCTGATTTACTGCTGGAGGTTGTCCCGAAGCTGTCAGCACTCAGAAATTTTAATCCCCAGCATCCTTCCTCCTCCTCCTCAATCCACAAGTGTGTGCGCATGTGTGTGTGTGTGTGTGAAAGAGAGAGAGTGCGTGGCCTATTTTTGTTTGTATGTTTGTCTTGTGTGTGCATGTCTGTCGTTGCTGTCGATCCGTGATGGAAAGTGTCCCGGGCCTTCTTCCTCATTTGGTGAAAGAGGAAATATGAGTCGAACGGACACCATTAGTGCCACTGAGATGGGAAAAAACAGAAAACATGGAGACAAGGACTCCTCCAGTTCACATTTCATGTCCCAGGATCAGACGGCTCGTCCTTAGATTTAAGGATGCGTTTATTTTTACGGTTAATGCTGGTGTGGAAGGTCATCTGCGACATTTAAAAGAACCTGGACACGTTCCCACTTTCCAGCCAAACGAGAGGCAGAGAGCCAGAAAACGGTTATCTTGTTTTAAGAATTATTAATTTACATTGAACACATACTTTGGGATTTTCCTACTAAAGCTCTGCTCTGATAATGCTGGTTCACTGAGGGTGAAGAGGAGGAAAAAGCCATTCCATCCTAATCATCTAACCAGATTTTAGAAATAATAATAATTGGCATATCTTTCAGAAATAAATAACGTCTCATGACTCTTTAACAGAGCTGGAAATTCATTTTAAACAGTGAATTCAATGGAAACTTCACGTATGTGAACTCAGTTTGCCTTTTCAACCCCAATTCATTCCCACAAATGTCAACACTTTCCCTTTCTCCCATTTCAAACCATTTTAAGAGAAGATTATCATCCTTATCATCTTATTTATTTGTGCTTCATGGTCTGTTTTCCCAGCCCACAGATCAGTTCCACCCTCTGGGATCAGAGGCCTTTCGCTTGCTCTGAGTTTTTCAATTTTTCTGTGTATTTTTTCAAACAAACAAGACGTATAAAAATCTATTTTCTAAAGTTTTTGAATGGTTCTCACCAGCAAAAGGTCTGGACGTGCGTGAGGGAAGTCGTTGAAATGGTTAAAGGCGACATCAGCTCTCCCTTATTTAACTCATGCTTTCATTACATCACGCCTAGATTATTGTAATTCTTTGTATGTTGGTATTGACCTGCTCCAGCGCCTACAACTCATACAAAATTCAGATCTGCCGAGACCGTAGAGGTGTTTAAGTCCTCTTTAAAAACTCATTTATTTGACTTGGCTTTTAACATTTTAACCTTAGGTTGAGGTAGAGCACCTTTTTACCTTTTTATTTATTTTTTTATTTGATTTTACATTAAAATTACATATACATGTAAATTATGTTCTTTTTATGTGTATTTTTACCTGTACAGCACTTTGGCAACTTTGGTTATTTTAAATGTGCTCTATAAATAAAGTTTGACTTGACTTTCTTGACTTATTTAGCGGCATCGCTAATCAGAGGAGAAAAGAGGAGAAAGATCAGCTGGTTTTTAGCTTTTCAGCCAAATCTGTAGTTTGTTGGTGGTGAAACAACCAGAGTCTGAACCACTGGGGCTTCACGCCTGAACCCCTAAATCGCTTGTTGTTGTGTAGGGTTGTCATGATACTAAAATTTTCAACTCGATACCGATACTCAGGAAAATACTGGATACTCGATACCGTTTTCGATGGCACAAGGATAAAAACAAAGACCCCAAAATTTTACTGAATTTTGACAGGTTAGTGTCTTTGGTTTCAAACTGACCTGTTAATGACCCTAACCCTAACCCTGACCCTAACCCTAACCCTAACCCTGACACTGCCCCTGACCCTAACCCTCCACCCTTCATAATTGTGAGAAATAAATATTTTTTGGTTAAACTTGTTTGGACTTATTGTACAAACCTAGTTAACATCCACTATTTTAACATAATATTATGGATAGAGTTTAATTAAGTGTTTGGTATCGATACTTTTGAAAATGAGTATCGTATCCGGATACAACATTTTAGTATCTATACTTTTTTAAGTATCAACCCTTTTGTTGTGTAACATCCCCGTCTGCTTTCTCTGTCCCCCCCCCCCACAGAGAGGGACT